ATTTGTTTTGGGATTTGCTTGTTCTTGTTTTTCTAGGAGTTTGAGATGTATCATTAAGTCATTGATTTGGGATCTTTCAGTCTTTTTAATATATGCACTCATGGCTATAAACTTTCCTCTCAGGACTGCCTTTGTTGTGTCCCATAGGTTCCGGAAGGTTGTGTTTTCATTTTCATTGACTTCCAGGAACCTTTTAATTTGTTTTTTCTCTCTTACAGCCTTCAATATTCTTTCTCTACTCTCTGTACTTGTTGTTTTAATGATAATATGTCGTGGAGTAGTTCTATTTTGGTCAGGTCTGTTTGGAGTTCTGGAGGTTACCTGTACCTGTATGGGCATAGTTTTCTCTAGATTTAGGAAATTTTCTGTATTTTGTTGAATATGTTATCCATTCCTTTTTCTTGCGCCTCTTCTCCTTCTTCAATGTCTATGATTCTCAGGTTTGGTCTTTTAATGGAGTCAGTAAGTTCTTGCATTTTCTTTTCACTGGTCTTGAGTTGTTTAATTAATAGTTCTTTGGTTTTTCCTTTAATTACCATTTCATCTTCGAGTTCTGAGATTCTGTCTCCTGCTTGTTCTAGTCTGCTGGATTGGCCTTCCATTTTGTATTGCATTTCTGTTTCATTCTTTTTTGTGAGATTTTCCATATCCTGAGTCTCTTACTCTTTAATATTGTCTATTTTCTTCCTGAGTTCATTTATCTCTTTATTTATTGTGCTCTTCGTTTCACTTTGGTGTTTATACAGTGCTTCTATAGTTTCTTTTATTTGTTCTTGTGCTTTCTCAAATTCTCTATGTTTGTTGTCTTGGAATTTCTTGAGTGTCTCCTGTACATTTTGGTTGACCATATCCAGTATCATCTCTATAAAATTCTCATTGATTACTTGCAGGATTTCTTCTTTCAGGTGTTCTTGTGGGCTTCATTGGGTTCTTTGGTATAGTTTATCTTCGTTTTGTTGGAGTCTGGATCTGAGTATCTGATTTCTTCATTTCCCCCTGGTTCCTGTACTAATTTATTATTGGGAGGAAAATGGTTTCCCTCTTTTTTCCATCTTCCTATCATTGCCCTTGCTATTGTTACTGTCCCTGTACTGTGTGTAATTCAGTATTTTCTAGCTTATAATAATAATGATGATGATATCTAGAATGGAAGGGTGAGAGGAGAGGGAAAGCAAAGAAGGTAAAGAAAAAGGGAAAAACAAACAAACAAACAAAAAAATTACCAAACAAACAAAAAAACAAAGCCAAAGAAATAAACAGGGAGAGACAGTGTACTAATCAACAGTAAGCTAAACAGGCATTAGAGAGACAGAGAGAGGATAATAATAATAATAATAAACCCAAGTTCAAATGCAATAAAGTTTCAGTCTTAATAATTTTGGTGTTAGTTCTTCAGCCTCTAGTCCTGAAGACTTCTCAGTGTCTGTGAAGTAGTTCTGTCATTTTCTCATCAAAGGGGAAAAACAAAAAACAACAACAACAAATCCCAAGTTCAAATGCAATACGGTTTCAGTTAGTCCTTCAGCATCTGGTGTTGTCTCATCAAAGGAAGAGAAAAAAAAGAAAAGAAAAGAAAGGGAATCTGGAGACAGCTTTGTGAATGTCTGTCTGAGGCTGCGGCTCACCTGGCTCCTACTGTCAGCCATCTGCTGCTGCAGGCTTTGTTTAATTAGAGTTCTCCTGGATGCATGTCTCTTTTGTTTTCTCCAGTATACAGCCCTACCCGCCTTGTGCAATTACCGTCTTTTTTTTTATTTACATTTTGCATGGGGAGTGCCCCTCGCCCCCTCTCTGGTGGAGCTTTCCTCACAACAGCTGCAGTTACAAGCTTTCCCCTCTCCAGGGTTGCTGGGTGGGGGCCGCCACTCCTGCCTTCTCTGGCCAGCTTGTTTATTTACAGTTCGCCTGAGGGATTGCCCCTTCCCCACTCTCCGGAGCTGGGGCACCCTGCCCTCTTTGCTACGTGTCTTTTTTTTTTTCAGCTGCTTGTTTATTATTCAGTTTGTTTTTTTCTTGTTTTTTTCCCCCCTGGGGGGGTCACTCTGTCCAGGGGGCTATGCTGATCTGGCTCAGGGTTGTCCATGGGAGTACTGCATGCCGCTTAGCTCACCTGGTGGCCTGCTTCTCCCAAGCAGGATAGGAGCTGGCATCTGGTGGCACAGAAGCCCTCCTGGTTTCTCCATTTAACGTTGGGTGGGGATGCTATGTGCAGGTTGGGGGTGTGGAGGTGTTGGAGTTTTACCTCTTCTTGGTGGTTTTTCCTGCAGGGTGTATCTCCAGCGTCTCTCCAAGATTTTACTTAGGAAGTATGCTTTCTGCTTCCTCCCTCTAGTCACCATCTTGGAATCTCCTAAATTTCTTCTTTTGAAAAAGTTCTGTTTAGTTCAGTTGCCCATTTCATAATTGATTCATTGATTTTAGGAGAGTTTAGTTTCTTAAGTTCCCTGTATATTCTGGTTATCAGTCCCTTGTCTGATATATAACTGGCAAATATTTTCTCCCACTCTGTGGGTGGTCTTTTCAGTTTAGAGACCAATTTTTTGTGCAGAAGCTTTTTAATTTTATGAAGTCCCACTTATTCATCCTTTCTCTTAGTTGCTGGGTTGCTAGAGTTCTATTGAGGAATGTATTTTTTTTTTAGAAAATCAATATACAAGTATACAGGAAGAGAGAGCAGGCAGGAAATGTCAGCAAAGTGGTAGATTACAAAGTTCCAAACTCCCAAATTCTCATTCATTCACAGATCATTAAACAAAACACACACACACACACACACACACACACACACACAGAAACACACAGAAATAAGACAAGACTGGAAAATTAAGAGATTCAAAAACAGCTGTCTACATGAGGGAATTGATAAAGTTGTATATTGGCCCATGCAAAGTTTCATGCTCACACATATAAACACACACACACTGGCTGAACTAACCTTATAGACTTCTGAAAGTATTAAGAAGTTAACAAGAAGCAACCGAATGCCAAATCAAGAAAAAGCTGCTTTCAAAATGGTAGGAAACATTTTGTGTCATTTTTAGTTATTTAATCATTTAATCCATTTTTCAACCCATGCTTTCTTCCACTGCTATGGCAAGCTTGGTTTAGTGGAGGCAGAAGCTCAGTCCTCTCTTCCTAACACACAACTTGAAGCAGAGGAAACAGAAAAGAGCTCTTTTGTGTTAACTTAAATTTGACCTAAGGTTATCTCCATACCTTGTATCCCTACATAAGGAACAGCAAAACAATATAGAAACAAAGAGAAAGCTTAATTTAGGAGTATGTTTTTGTAACAAATAGTTAAGTCACAGCTGTTGAGTTTCAGCCAATCACAGGCTACCAACTTACCAGATCATGTCCAGATTTGGCAAATGCCTCCCTGTAACTGATTAAGCTGTTTTTGTACTTTCTCCATAAATATTCCCTGCCCACAATAGTGACACCCAGATCTCTGAACCTTCACTGGTTCTGGGTGCTGCCCAATTCATGAATTATTCTTTGCTCAGTTAAGTCTGTGAGATTTAGTTTGTTTAAAGCTTTTCTTTTGACATTTGCAAAGTTTTAACTTGCCTGGGGCCTGCAAGAGAGGTAGTCTCTGTTTTGCCTAACTTTGATCTCTGTTGCCTAACATGAGTATGGGACAATGGCAGACAGTGCTTTGAAAGATGCACAGAGAATGCAGACCCACAAAAACCTGGACAAGAGATCATGAGCACTGACATTCAATAGACCACCTAAGTCCCAAGGAGAAATAAGCACAAGACTGGAAAACTAAGAGATTCAAAAACAGCTATCTATCTGGGGGAATTAATAAAGTTGTACATTGGCCCATGCAAGGTTTCATGTTCAAAAAAGACATGAGAAGACCTTAAGTTTCACTTTAGACTGTGTATTAATCCATTTTCTGTTCTATAACAAAATACTGGGTTATTGTGTAAAGAAAGAGCTTAGTATGTTTATTTTTCTGTGCTGGGGAGAAAGCACAGGTCCTCACATATGCTAGACAAGTGCTATACCACTGAACTATATCCCCAGATCAAAAAGAGGTTTATTTATCACTCAGTTTTGGAAGCTGAAAATCCAAGGTTTGACAACCCCATCCGTTTGGTGTCTGGTAAAGCCCTTATAGCTGATGACATTGTAATGTTAGCATGGTGTGGAGAAGTGAAACAGGAAACCAGAGAGACCGTGGGGCCAGGCTTGCTCTTTTTTAGAAGCCACTTTTGGGGGAACCAACCAGGGTCCTTTAAGAACCAAAAGTAACACCACCAAAGACCTAATCACCTCCCAGTAGGTCCCACTTCTTATAGATTCCATATTTCTCAACATCACCACAGAGGAAATTAAGCTTCCAGCACATGAAACTTTGAGGGATATACCCAAACCTTATCTAAGCTATAGCAGCTTGATTTGTAGAATCAGAGAAAGACCAAATAATGAGTAAAGGACAGCCCCAGGACAAAGCCAGTTTGCAAAGACTGGGAGTGGTGGCTATCTGCCTCTCTCCAAAATTTTAATTTTTCCAATTTTCAAAAAAAAAATCAAGGTATAGAAAGAATTGGAAAAAAAGTGGTATATCCAAGGAAACAAAATAAATAGACAGAAACTGTCCCTGCAGAAGCCCAGATATCTAACTTATCAAAGACTTTGAAACTATGACATTAAATATGCTTAATGGAAAATACAGGGAATTAAAGAAAGTCAGGAAATAGAGGACCTGAACAACACTACAAACAAATCAGTTCTAACATAAATATATACACAGTCTCCCATCCAACAACAATTTATTATAAACATTTTCTCAAGTACATATTAGGCCATGATAAAAGTCTTTAATAATTTTTTTAAAGTTAAGATGTATTTTTATGATTAATTTATTAATAAAACTAAACATCAGTAGCAAGGAATTTTTAGTGTGGTGGAAGAAGTCTTGCCATCACATCTCAGAGGAAGGGGAAGTCACAGTAAGAAGTACTTTCAATTTATGACAGAGTGGCAACAAGGTGGATTGTCTCAGGGTTGCCAGCATCGGTCTCCGCCTCGCAGAGCATGTTCTGGCTGTTCCAGTCTCTCCCACTTGTCTTCTGCCTTGGCACAGGTAAATGTCCACCCAAACCCACGTAGTCACTGAGTAACTCCCTGCTTTTATGCAACTTGCTCAATCTAAAGCATTTAAATAGAATTGACTGGCTGACTATCTCCAGAGAGAGTGAGTGGAGTTGACAATGATGCCTGATAAACTGCCATCCTCTTTCCACTTAGAATGCTGCAAGCCTGAGATGGTTTAGGGGTAGCAAACTTCAACTGGGTCTGCCTGTAAGGAAAGTATGGGAAATGAGCTTTTGTAAGTCAAGATTGTTTAGGGTTTATATGAGTATGTCATGGTATAAAGGGAACTAAGATCAAGAAAAGCATATCCTCTGCAATCTAGCTGTGTAACTTCAAGTGGGTTAATTTTCCTTTCTGGGCTTCACTCTCCTCATCTAAATAATGGAATAATTATCTAAATAATGAAATAATGATTCAGTTTAGTTCAAGTTTCTGGGACTAAAGAAAAACACCAGAAATCTTTGGCCAAATGAAAAAAAAATTAACAATTTTCAGCTCCCCCTCCCTTTGATGCAAATCAGGCTAGTTAGTCCAACAATGTTTTTTATAGCAATGAGAAAGAAATTAACTAATTAGCTTGTGTCTTGTTCTCTATTATCTGTTACATGGAGAAAAAGAAGGCTCAAATCGCATTGGGGAAACCACAAGTCATTCATTGGGGTTGAACTACAGTGTTCGGGAGGAAGAGATCAGACAATAAAACCTGCCCAGAACTAGACTGGGGAAACTGATTTTTTTTTAAAAATAGCTAGCATTTATTGTTTATTCTGTTTTAGGTTCTGGGCCAGGTGTTGAGCTTGCATTATGTTTAGAAGACTCATGAAAATTCTATGCATTTTTAAGTATTAATAGCCCCATTTTTAACATGAGAAGCTGAGGCTAAGATCGTTTAAATAACTTGCTCAAGTTTCATTAGCCATGTGGCAAGCTCTTGAATAGTTCTGAGATCAATGACAGTTGAACAGATCTATCAGCAGCACCAGAGAAAGCAGAGGAAAGATGTAGAATTACTAAGAGGAGAGGAGGATTCCTTAAGTCATTCAATAAATATGCTACTGAATGTGTGGCACTGTAGTTGTTTCTGGGGATATATCTTGAACAATGCCAGAAAAATTTGTGTTCTTGTGGAATTAATATAAAGAAGTAAAAATTATACATTGAATAGTGATAAATGATAAGAAAGAACTAAACAGGGAAAGGAGATATGAAATGTGGTGGGGAGGACAGTCACATTTCAGATAGGCCAGTCAGTCAAAGAAGGTGACAAAGTTTGGGGGAGGAGGGCAGGAACAGCCATGGGAGGATGGTAAGGCAAGTTCAGTTTGGAACCTATTAGTATTAAGATGTCAATGTGATATCTGTGAGATTTCCTGAAAGAAGCAGGAAATTTAAGACCAAGGGTATGACTGAGGATGGAGACTTGAAAGTCAACAGCATAGAGGTAATATGTGAATCTAACCTGGAAATTATATATATATATATATATGTATATATATATATATATATATATTCTTTACTTGTCAGGTTCTTCTACCAGATGGTAACCCCAGAGGACTGGTAATGTCTTATTCATACTTGTAGTCCCAGTATCCATTCCAGAAACTAGTACATAAAAAGGAACCAATAAATATGGCCTGAATGCCATAATTTCTCAATTTTTTACTCACTGAATCAACATGGAATTGAGAAAATACTAAAATTAATGACTTGTTAAATAAACTAATAAACCAGGGATAGTAGTGCACAACTGTAATCTCAGCACCAGGAAGGCTAAGGCAGGAATATCACGAATTCAAGGCCAACTAGCAATTGCAATCTACAAATGCCAGGGAACGTAAAGGAGTGTGCTAGGCTATGGAGGAACATTTCCTTTGAGAACTTGGGCCACTGGGTAAGCCTGGACTCTTTATTTAAAGCAACTGAGATGTAAGTTCTTGGACAGAGAATCTCTAAGAGGAAGGACAGAGATGTATCCATTCACTCCACAGATGTTTATTGATGCCTATTAATGTGGCAGCCATTGTTCAGAGTATTCACAATAGTGAAAGAGACAGGCAACAGTCCTTCCCTCCATGGAGCTGACATTCTAGTGCAGAGGAGAAAGAACAAAGGAAACAAAAAATTATAAAGTGTGCAAATCATGAGTACTATAGAGAAAGATAAATCCAAAGGCAGCTAGATATACAGGGTGGAGGGTAGAGGTTGGTAGCCAAGAAAGAGCTTAGAACTCTCTGAAAGAGAACATTTGCATTAAAGACAAAAGAGTGAGGCCCACGTACACCTGCAAGTATACTCCAGATATACTGTAAGTACAAAAAGCCCTGGCCTGTTCAAGGAATAGCAAAGCTGGAATAAAGTGAACAGGGAAGAGGTATAGGAATGAGACTGAAGGAGAAAATGGCTAAATCGTTTTGGTCCTTTTAGGTCACAATGGTTTTGTTTTAGTTTGGTTTTGTGGTTTTAAGTTGCTTAAACTTAAAAAAAATACAAAGAAGAAAGCATACAAATTCTAAGTATTAGCTCAGTAGATTGTCAGATAATTAATACTTGTAAAGCCAGACACAGGTCAAGACGTAGAACACCAGCACTCCAGGTTCCCTCCTACTTGCTACTCCTCCTTCTCAAAGGTAGCCACACTCCTGACTTTTACCAGCATTGTTTTATTTTGCCTGTTTCTTAACTTTAAATCAATGGAATAATAGCATTGTGTGTGTGTGTATGTGTATGTGTATTTTTTTTGCTCAAGAGTTTGCTTGTGGTATTTATTCATTTCATTCTGAGAGGGAAAAGGGGTCAGGAGACAAATACCAGTATGTCACAATGCTACTGGGAAAGATACAGTGCAGAAAGAAATGATGACAGCAATGTTCATGTGCCACATAACAGGTCATGGGACCGGTACGACAGTTCAGGAAAAAAAAAAATGAGTGTGAGATCATCCAAGAGTTGCGGTGGAACATCAGGATCCCAGGAGACGTCCCCCAACACACGTACACACAGACACACACGCACATGGACACACAAGCACACACGCAGATGCACACGCGGACACACAGACACATGGACACACAAACACACACACAGACACACCCGCAGACACACAGACACACACAGCACACATGGACACACAAGCACACACACAGACGCACACGTGGACACACAGACACACAGGGGCACACACACACACATATACATGGACACACAAGCACACACGCAGACACACACATACACGAACACACACACACAGCAACTTCCTTGGGAAATAAGAGACCCACTAAGGTTGATATAGTGGTATAGCAGTTATGGCTTTTTAGTCATTGACTCGGTGGAACATCTCAACATTTTAAGGTGTCAGGCACAGTGCAGAGTGCTGATGTACAAGGATAATCAGAGCATAGTCAATTAGATGAGTAAACAGAGCTGGAAAATAGAGTGACAAGTGCTAACAATTTGACAAAGGCCACTAAGCAAGCATCTTCTCTAAGAATTGTGATCATTTCACTTTTTTTGCTCACACATTGATGGCTCTGAAATAGGCTCACGAGAACTCGGTCTTGGAGGCATGGCTCAAGCAGTAGAGTGCCTGCCGTGCAAGCATGAAGCCCTGAGTTCAAATGCCAGCATCTCACACACACACACACACAAAATAATGTGGCCATTGTGCGTTACTTTGAAATTATATGTTTCGTATTTATCAGCTTTATCTCCCCAACTACCAGACCACAATTTTTTTGAGAGCAGAAAAGATATCCTCTGACAGCATGAAAAGAGCAAAAGTAGTTGTAGTTAGAAGATCTAGGTTAGAATCATGACTATTCTTTACTGTATGACCTGGGGAAAGTTAGTTAAAATCTCTGGGTTTCCATTCCTTTAGATATAGATGGAGATAATAATATATATCCTCTCTGCCTTGAAGAACTGTTGTTAGCATCAAATGAAATAATGCATGAGAAAAACTGTGTATGAGGTAAATCTCTGATATTAGTCCTCTAAATTACATAAGCATGCTATGTGGACACATAGTAGGTAATCAATAAATGCCTGGCTGTAATTAGACTTCAACAGCACACTTGCAGCTTTTGGAGTCTGTGCTGGGAGTTATAATTCCTTGTCCCTTACCAAATACTTCAGATGCTGGAATACAAAGCACTGTCATGGCCCAGGAGTGACCAGCCAGTGTGGAAGTAGGCACTGAGCCAGCATCATTAAGGAAGAATGCCAGACATTTTGTTGGAGGTAGAGCCACTGCCCATGTCATTGTCCATCACAACACTTCCAACCCTTTCTCACCTCATGGCATCTCTGGGCCTCAGTTTCAAAGAGCGTGGACAGATTGGCAAGGTTAGGGGAAAGGATGTAGGAATTGGGGAGGGGAGAGGTCGTCAGGGACAGTTTTACAGCCTTTTCCTTTTGCATTTACAGGGAATGCAGTCTCACAAACCTCACTAGTGGTGAATGGAGTTCTGGGGGAGTCAATAACTCTTCCTGTGAAGCTTCCCAACAGGGAGAAAGTGGAGGCCGTCATCTGGCATTACAATGAAATAGCTATTGCCATCATACAGCTAAATAACGAGTTAGAAAGCCCACAAGTCATGGTGCTTGATGGAAAAAGGAAAAACCGGCTGAACGTCACCCAGACATACTCCTTGCATCTCAGCAACCTGAAGATGGCAGACGCAGGATCTTACAGGGTCCAGATAAGCATGGAGACCCCTCTACTGCTTTCCAGTTACACTCTGAGGATCTTCAGTGAGTCTAAATGTGGGGTTAATTATGTATGAACAAAAAATTGCATATTTCAATCCCATGTGACTACAAGTGTACATACACTGTCTACTGTCCACTAGTGGTGAAAGGGATAGCATTTGGAGTCAGAATGAGGTCCCACAATAAAGCCACTCAATGGCATTGCCCAGCCAAACAGGGGCAGAATCTAGGTCTTGTGGCTGTCCACCCAGAATCACCTCACTCCATGCCATCTAACATAATGGTCCCTTTCAACCAGATATGTAATAGAATTAATAGAAGTGAAATATTTTTGATACTGTTAACATGTACATTTCATGTATCTGTCATGTAATCCACACAAGGGCTCCAGGAGTTAAATACAATCCTTATGCCTGAGGCAGAGCCTCAGTCACAGTCACAGAAATAGTGAGTGGTAGACTTACCAAGTAACTGGACTGTCACAATACCTCACTTTCCAGAAAGGCCAGCCTGACCTAATAAAGTGCTCTTTGTTCAGCATAGTGGTCTGTGCAGCTGAGCCAATAAAGAGAAAGTAAAGGTTATTTACTTTCTAGCAATGTTTTTTTCCTGGATGATGCATGTTGATCATTTCTCAAAAATCTGCCTTTTTAGCTAGGCATGGTGGTATATACCTGTAATGTCAGCATTTAGGAAGCTGAGTCAGGAGGACTGGGATTTCAAGACAAGCCTAGTCTACATAGCAAGACTGTCACACAGGGTTGGCAGAATGGCTCAAGTGGTAGAGCACCTTGCCTAGCAAGCATAAGGCCCTGAGTTCAAAATCCAGTATCACCAAAAAAAAAAAAACAAAAAAAGAAAAAAAAAAGAGTGAGAGAGACTGTCTCACACTCACACGCACAAAATAATCTCTACCTCTCCAAGATTAAAGAATGAAAATGTCCTTAGAACATAAAATTTTGGAAACTATAATGAGATAGGTTATGAATCTATGTCATAAAAAAATCTATCAGTGATATTCAGAGATGCCATAAGTGGCTTTAGGATAATACTTAGCAGGAATGTTTTATAGGAGATTCAAGCATTAAATTGTGCACTAGACTAGACAAATTTAAAGACCACTGAGAGTCTATAATTCTTATTGACCAGAGAGCCCATGAGGTCCAAAATTCATATGAAATCATTTGGCTTAAGAGATAGTATCCCCCAAAAAAGTACTGTTAAAATAAAATATCTCTACAAGTAGGTTATCTGTTAACTTTTAGTATCTCCTGCATATTTGATGAGTTTACCACATCAGATTAGTCAAAATCATGTCCTCAAAAGCATATGACACAGAGAGATAAATGTGATGAAAAGGAGGATGGCTGGAAAAGTTCTGCGCAGGAGATGCAAACTGAACGGCCCCCAGGGCAGTGTGTTCATCTCCTGAGATTGCCAAAACAAAACACCTCAAGCTTTACAGTCTAAACAATAGAAATGTATTCTTTCAAAGTACTAGAGACAGGAAGTCCAAAGTCAATGTGTGGGCAGGACTGCACTATCTTTTGAGGCCCCAGAAAGACTATCTGTTCTTGGCCTATCCCGGCTTCTTGTCGCCATTAGCATTCTTTGTGGCTGCATCGTTGTATCTGTGGTCACCTTGTCCTCTCCTCTTCCCTAAGCTTTGTGCTCTTCTGTCTGGCTCAACTATTCTTCTTCTTTTCATTAGACTTAGAGCCCACCCAGATAATCCAGGATGACCTCCTCAACTAACTTAAATTCCTTTTGCAAAGAATAAGGCAATATTCACAGATTCTGGAAAATAAGGTACTGATGTATCTTTTGAGGAATCATCACTCAAACCACTACTGGCAGGACTATCTTGGCTGATAGTGATTATCAAGACAGTACAGCTCCCTTAGGACAAGTGAGATGAGTACAATGGAAAGCCTGAGAATGGAAGCCATGCAAGGCTCCATCTCATTTGCTGGGACAAAGGTCTTCTGACACTATTGAGAAGACTGAGTACAAATTCTACAACAATCACACTCCTAGGGCTCAATGCCAGTCTATTTTCAGGGCTTTTTGGAGTATTCTCCTTCAAAGGTGAGAAATGTACACCAAGTTGTTTTACAATAGTACAAATGAATTTCAAAGGATGAAATATATGGAAATTTTTCAAACATTGACTTTGTGTGTGCCAGGATAAGAATGACAAATATTTGATCTTATATGTCAATACTGGAGTAACTGACTGTGGTTCAGTGTTAAAGGAGATGTTAAAGACAGGTTAAGTTTGTCCATTGAGTCATTATTTGTTGGCCATGGGGAATATACAGGCTCTCTTATAGGCAGTTGAAATAGATCAGTGAGCAAAATGAAGACTGTTGCCTTACAGGAGCTGACTTTCTGGTTGGGGAGTACAAGAAGATAATAATACACATAATCTATTAACAAACAATGTAGTATGTCAGAAAGCCATTTGTGTTATAGAGAAAAAATGAGAAATTAGAACAGTATGAAGAGCACCAGGAGTGCCAGGGAGCAGTGGTCATTTTTTTTAAAGCTAAGAAGTGAATCTAAGGCCTTTAGCATGTTAATAGGCAAATGCTCTACCACTGAACTGTACACCCAAACCCAGGGATCAGTTTTAAAAAATGAAAACATGACATTTGAACCAAGACTCATTGGAGGTAAGAGAATGAACTATGAAGGAATCTGGAAGAAAAATCATCCAGCACAAATAGTAAGACTCTCCTGTACTGAGGGAACATCAAGGAGGCTGAACATCAGAGCAGAGTGAAAGAAGGAATAATAGGAAATGAGGTCAGAAAGGAAACAGGGGACTGCATCATGTAGGGCTCTGAGAGCCAAAGAGAAGACTTTGACTTCTGGATGGGGCACATGACTCATAACTGTAATCACAACTGCTGGGGAGGGGAGATTGGGAGGATCACAATCACAGTTTGAGGCCAGCCCAGGCAAAAAGTTAGTAAGACCCCATATCAGCAAATAAGCCAGGTGCAATGGTACACACCTGTGGTGCCACAAGGGAGACAAAGGTAGGAGAATTAGAGACCGACCCTGCAAGGCCTTGAGTTCAAGCCCCAATACCACCCCAAAAAAATGATTTTGACTTCCATTGTCAATGAAATTGAGATCCATCCGATGGTTTTACAAGGACATATGATTCAACTTGTGTGTTTAAAGGATCCTTTTGGTTACTCTGTGGAGAGGCCAATGGACCACTGGGAAACCATTTCAATAATCCAGGCAAGAGTTGATGCTGGCTTGGATCTGTGCAGTAACAGTAGAGGTGGTGAGAAGAGGTTGGGTTCTGGATATATTTTGAAGGTAAAGTCACCAGGACTTCTTGATATGGGAGTATGAGAAAAACAGATGAATTAGGGATGAGGCAGGCTTTTGGCGTAAGTAACAGAAGGATGAAGCTGTCTTAATTAAGGTATGGAAGGCTCCAAACTGAACAGTTTTGGATATAAAGCAGAAGTCCTTACACATGTCAAATTTAAGATATATCCAAGTGGATGTTCAAACAGGCAGTTATATGTATTCATCAAGTGGAAAAAAAGTATCAAGATAGGTTTTTGAGGTCAGCCTCAGACCTGGGATGTAGCATTTGCCATCCCTGTGCTATGCACTGACCCATTAAATCTTACAACCACCTGAAAAGTAGCTATTTTTGCCTGATTTTCCAAATGACAAAACCAAGTCTTGGAGATATTAATAATTTACCCATGGTTTCACAGTCAGTAAATGATAAAGCTGTGATCTTGTCATCTATCTATCTACCTTCCTGCTCAGTTAATTAAATTTACTAAATGTCTTCTAACCAGAGAATTGTCATTCCATTCTTTGTTGGGTCATCTCCTCTGGGGCTAAGGCTGGCTCAGGGGTCTTTTCTTGCCTTGCTCTCATGTCCCCATTGGTTCACAGCTACTGGTATTCTTCTAGGCAGTGTTTTCTAGTTTTTGGTCTCAGAAATTTCTACATCTCATGTCATCTTAGATGACTGAATATATTGCATTTCTGTGCTCCCTGAAATTGCTTTTGGCTCAGGGCCCTGAGCTTAGTCTCCAAGCTTTATTTACAAGGGGCAGTGTCCAAAGACTAGAAAGGACCCCAGGGGTAACTGGAGCCCAGAATGGTAAAATGACCAGCCCCAAATTACCCAGCTAATTGGTGACAACCTCAGTATCTCCCTTCCCATTTCTCCCAGTGGTTACTCTGCTCATATTGATGACCCTTCATTTGGTCACCCTAGACCTTGCTATCAGCAATTAAGCAACATAAGCAGCATCTTTTATAGAGTATAGCGACCATAGCCTACAGCAGAGGCAGACTACAAAATAATAGAGGTGAATCTTTTTCACAGAGAGCTGAGTCGTGCCATTTGTCCTTAACCTGGGTATTTTCTCTGAGCATAGGACGACTGAAAAACTTGCAAGTTACCAACCACATTCGACTACCTGAGAATGGGACCTGTGAGATCCACCTGACCTGCTCTGTGGAGAATCCAAATGATACTGTCTCATTCAGGTGGCAGGACTTAGGAAACATCTCTTCAAGTGGACCAAACCTCACTATCTCTTGGGACTCAAAGAATTCCAGCAAACAAAACTACAGTTGCATAGCAGAGAACCCTGTCAGCAGTGTATCTTTCTCTGTCTCTGCCCAGAGTCTCTGTAAAGGTAACAGTCTGCCTCAGGTCCCTCTCTGAGTGCCTTGAGCAGCTGTGGTGAGCATGTCCTCATGTCCTGTGTGATTCCCAAAATAGTGGCAGTGGGAGGCTACCAAAGTGATGGTGAAAGGGGACAGGCTGCCTCTGGAGCTCCATGCCTCCTTCCTCCCTCTCCTTCCTCAAGCCTTCTCCAAGAGCAAAGGCCTAAGGAAGACAGGATTGCTTTCCCCCTGTCTCTACCAGGCATCACCTGCCCTGCTGCTACATGGAGCCCCCTACCCTCCCAACTCCTCCAGAAGGCCTGCCAGAGCCCTGGGTTCAGATGAACTCACCGAGTCCCTGCAGGCAACCTAGAAGAGGCTCAGTGGAGGCCTGAGACAAACACACTCTGGGCCTCCCCTCAATGTGTCTCAAGAAGTTTCACTTTTATCTCTTTTCAGGTGTTTTAACTACGGAAAATCTACATTGGACTAGCACATGGACTTTAATCACAGTTTCTTTGATAGCTGTAGTCATCACTGTGTTGTGCATACTTGTTTGGAGAAAAAGAAGAGGCAGGTTTTCTTTCTTCCTATTCTTCTCTCTTCTAAGGGTTCAGGTGTTTAGACTCTGAGGCATCTGATTGCCAAAGATCTCTTTTGGACAGGTGAGAGGGGGAGGATGCAAACCTTGGCTCAGCTAGTCCACTGGGATGACCACACACCTGCTACTACCCTGAAAGAGGTGTCCTAATGGGAAAAGCAAAACCCAGCCTCAGGGTCCACATACCCACCTGCCCTTCTCATTGGGCCCTCTCCCTCACATCCTCTAGAGGGATACCTTTTAGGGGAGGGAGGTAAGAAGGCCTCTCTCACTGCTGTCACATTTCTGATTCCTGATTTTATTTTTCAGGTTCCCTTCATTTTCCTACGGCACAAACCCAGCATCCTGGTGAGCATCAGACTTTTAGTTGCCAATCATAAAGCAGATCAGAAGGGGGTTAGCAAGAGGGCTGGCTAATGAGAGAGGAGGGAGCAAGGACATCACTATTCAGACAGATCCCATGGTGCTAGGGAAGATGACAACCATGAGACCTGCAGATTCCCTCATGAGCATATGTGTGACTTAGCACAAGTCGGTTGAGCTTGCTGAGCCTGCAGTTCCTCATCTCTACAATAAATCAAATCCACCTCAGAAGCCTCTGAAAGCAGTGTCTCCAGCTCTCCCATAAGCAGTATGACTTAGTCCTTCATGGGTAAAGCCTGAGGAAGACACTTGCTCTAGGGCACAAGACTACCGCCCACCCACACCCAAGAGAAGTCAGAAATAAACTCCATGATTGAGATGGTTCTGGCTCCACCCAGAACCCCAAAGACTGTCAAAAATGAATGAACCCTGAGGAAGGGCAAAGTTTGGAACAACCGCTTCGTTGGGGACTGAAAGCACCGAACAGTCCCAAAATCCTTCTCCCACTGATGATGGCTTTTGTGTTAACAGTTCAGTCTTCACAGAGCACAGAGTACACCTTCGACTCTCCAGGGAACACTGTGTATGCACAGGTCAATCATCCAAAGCGGGTGAGTCTGTTCAGCTTGGAACTCCATCATTATTGCTATTTTTACAGTGATTATCTGCAAACTTGTCATCCCAATAATCCTGTTTATCCAAATGATATTCATCACTGGGAGGAGATGAAGCCAGCAACAAAGGCTGCAAGTTATATGCAAGACCATTCTATTGTCTGCTGCTCTCGCCCTGTGGGAATGTTTATTCCTACCTTGTTTTCCACTGTTCTCGAACTGCTTCATGCATCAGTGGGTCTCGTCCCTTCAGCGTAGTTACAAGCTGCCTAAAAGTGTAAATTAGATCTTCCCCATCTCTTCCCCTATACCTAGCATAGCACTCAATAAATACTTGCTGAAGAGATCAAATTTCCACTAAGCTTGAGTTTCCAAAGGAGACAATTCCACAGCAGGAGGCTTCTCAGACTAGATGAAGGGGTATTAGGTGAACTCAGAAGAAGTCTCTGAAGAGAGAAGTAGCACAATAAGGGAAACTAAAGCCATGAGCAGCCCTCATCCCTCCCCTCCCCTCTAGCAACATAACAGGATGGCCTTAGTCAAGCATCAGGAATACCTGTCACACCTCTTTTCCCATCATCCCCAGATAAAGCACCTGTAGTGGCACACTTTTAAATCATCGTATACATCCTGGGAGGCCAGTTTCTATACCTTCTGAAAAACAGGCCAAGAAAACAGCATTCTCAAAATGATGGAAGCAATGGTCTACCTAGAAGTCTTGGATTCCCCAAGCAAATCCCCCTAGCTGAGTCCTTTCAGGCTCAGTCCCTTTCAGTCATTTGTGAAGTAGGCTCCTTGAAGAGAGGGAACAGGAAGGGACACTTGCAGAGAGCTTGCACTTGCTCCATTGGCTTTCCCAATTCCTATTAAAGGCGAGCTGAATCACTCTCCATCAAACCAGAACACTAATCTCCAGTCAATTTATTGGTTACTTCTTTGGTTTTTGTTTTTTGGTTTTTTTCTTTTTTGGTGGTACTGGGGTTGAACTCAGGGATTTTCCACTTGCTTGGCAGGTGTTGTACCACTTGAATCACTCATCTATCCCTTGTTGCTTTTTGCTTATTTTGGATATATGGTTTTGCTGTTTGTCCAGGGTGACCTGAACCATGATCCTCCTATACTACATTTCCTGTCATAGCTGGGATGACAGGCATGTGCCTCTACGCCAGTTTTTATTGGTTGAGATGGAGGTCGTGTGGACTTTATGCTCAGATTGGCCTTGAACTGAGATCTTCCAGATCTCTGCTTCCCAAGTAGCTGCAATTATTAGGCATGAGCCACCACGCTGTGCTAAACACAATTTTTTTTCTTTTCTTTCCTTTTTTTATTGTTGTGCTGGGTGGAGGTACTGCTAGGCACTTATTTATTAAAAAAAAATTGTACTCTGGAGAGTTTTGGCGGTCTTTATAATTCTCTAAATACCTCTTTATTAATTTAAAGTATCAAAATTTATGGGCAGGTTCTTCAAGGGGCACGGGGACTTCTGCTGTTACTACTTCATGGCATATTCCAGACAGCCATTCTTAAGACCAGGCGTTCTCATTCTGCTGGTTTCTGATGCTTGAGGAAACCCCAAAGACATGGTGACCAGGCCACTACAATGTTAGGACAAATGGAGCAGACAAAGTGAGCAGCTCCAGTTATAGCTAGCAAAATCCTAAGGCAAGAGATATAATACAATGACTACCTGGTATGTAAGTTAGTTCTTAAAAAAGAGCAGAGTCAGATGCCAGAGAATGCTTTCCTCTTCCCCTAGCTCCCCGCCCCTATTTTACATTAGGCTACCTTCTGTCTCTTTCTTGTTCTTAAGCCCTGTGGTATGTTGATTGTTGCTTTTCTGAAGGAAACGCCACCAAATCCTCACAGATTTTGACACTTGGTTTCCTGCTTCTCTTGCTAAACACTTCTGGCCTTCCTCACAAGAATGTTACATAACTTCTCATTTGTCATGCTGCTTTTTTCAAGGATGTACCTATGCATGATCTCTTTGTCTCTGTGTGAGCCAAACATGTATGATTTTTTTTACAGGAAACGGAAATCCCAACACCTATGAATAATGAGGATTCATTCACAGTTTACTCCACAGTTAATCATTCCAGGGAGGTAAAGCCATGATCGCTTCATGTTGTTATAGTTTTACCCTTCTCCCCAGATCTATGATATTGAAAATAAAGTAAAAGGAAAAGGGCCATTTTATGGATGCCCAAATACCAATAGTATACAAAAAGTCTCAGGACATCACCAAAACATATCTAAGAAATTATATTATACTAGGATCACTACACATAGCTGAATTTTCAACCTACTTATTTTTTAAATTTAATCTTGCTCATGGCCATCAATATGCCTACTATCTGTCAGGACTCTCTTGTCCTCTCTCTGCAGCCAAGAAGGGTGAGCTACAGTTCTCGTCTCTACTAACCTACTTCATTTTCCTCTTTTTTTCCATAGAGTAAACTCATTTTTCCCAGGGCAACCATCCTCAATGATGTCAAGTAAGATACTGAAAGTCCTCAAAGAAATTCAAGAATGACACAGCTCATGATCCCATGGGAGAGAACAAAAAGTGAAAACTTGGTTGTCCACCTAGCAACAGGACCTGAGTATCTAGGATTATTGCTCCTGGTCCTGCTTACTAAGTCAAATAACTAAGGAGTAACAACATCTCTGGAGTATAGTCTAAATAATGTTTTCCAGTCAACTCCTGGACAAAACCTGCTTCAGATAACACACCTGCATACTAACTTTCTGTTTGATAACTTAACAAATAGAGTTATGATTAACAGATTATAATTCAGCAGGTAACTATTTCTCTCCTTTTAGATAACATTGAGAGTGATTGTTGGAGAGAGAATGTGGTGTTTTGGTTACATGTATGGTGTCTGGAGTTGGAAAGGTCCATGGTCATATCCTAATACATCATTTACTAGACATACTTTCTAGAATATGTTTCTAATTTCTTAGAACTTTAGTCTCATAGACTTAAAAAAAAAAGAGGAAGATTATAAGACATTGGCTCTGTTGGTCAAATCAGGAATCTAAGTCTTCCCTGACTCTACCTCCAAAATATATCTTGGACCCACCCACTTTTCTCCAACTCCTCAACCACTGTCCTGTATCCAACCTTCGCCACCTCTACCTGGGAATATTTTAATAACCTCTGACCAGAAATCCTAATTTTGCTCTTGTCCCCTCCAATCCATTCTTCACAAGACAAGTGGGAGTAATGATTTTAATGTACATCAGATCCTTTCCTTGCTTGCTTACAACCCTTCATTGCACTCAGAATGAAATCCAGTCCCCATGGCCCTGGACAGTCTGGGCCCCTCCCCCAGACTCAGCTAGCATCACTCTCCCACCTTTCTCTTTATTTAGCCTCCCTGATCTTTCAGCTCTTTTATTGAAAGGTTCTCTATGTTACCATTATTTACACCTGCCTCAAGGCCTTTCCTCTGCTGCTGGGTTCCTCCTGTTCTTTAGGTCTCAGCTTAAATATGTCGTCTTGTATAGGAGACCTTCCCAGAACACTTATTATTCTATTAAACCTTCCATGTCATTTACCTTCCATGTCACAAAGTATTTATTTTTATTTGTTTAGGTCTATTTCTCCCATTAAACCATAAGCTCTTCAGGAGCAGAGATGATAGCTATTTAAACTGTAATCCTAATATCTAGCATGTTGTAAGTATTCAATAAATATTTTTAATAAATAAATGAATATGTCTTGGTTTGCATGAGAATTAAATAAGACAATATAATTGGCCCTCTGTAACTGCGTTCTGTCTCTGTATTAAATCAACCTCAGATTAAAAATACTTGAAAAAAAATTGCATCATTACTAACCATACCATGTAGACTTTTTTCTTGCCATTATTCCCTGAACTATTTACATTTTTCTAGGCTTTATTACATTTTACTAGGCAAATACTCTAGTGATTATTTGCAGTACACCAAAGGATGTGTGCAGGTTGTACACAAATACTACACCATTTTATATAAGGGACCATTTTATATCTAGGGGATTCCAGAAGCAATTTCTCATGGATCTCTGTATCTGAAAAAGTTAGCACATGGCTAGGGACATCATTGTTGTCAGTCACCGTTTGGGGTGTTATTATTGATGTTACTGTTATTAAAATTTAAATCTCTCAAACTCACAGAGTATTTTTACAAATTTTCAGCATGCTATGGAAGGAGAAAGAATACTTTTCCTGCCTCCATATCATTTCTTGCCTTTGCCCAATTTTGGAATTCTGTTCCTTTACTCCATGTGAAAAAAAAAAATACTTCTCTTCTCCTGAGAAGTATTTCCTTATTTTTTGGTGTGTCTGAAGCTTTTGTTTGTTTATTTGTTTGTTTGTTTTGCAGTACTAGAGATTGAACCCAGGACCTCAGGATTGCTAGGAAAGTGCTCTGCCACCACCCAAGGGCTGGTTTGAGGTATTTCTTTTACTATGGGCGGGGGACAAGCTATTTGGGTTTGAACTCAGGGCCTCATACTTGCTAGGCAGACACTCTACCACTTGAGCCACTCTGCCAGCCCTTTCTGATAGGGTCTCCTGAACTATTTGCCTGGGACTGGCTGCAAATGGTGAGCTTCCTGATCTCTATTTCCTGAATAGCTAGGATTACAGACATGAGCCACTGGCACCTGGTCTTAGGTATTTTTATCACATCTTTTGTAGTGTGTTTTTTTTCACAAAACTAATATATACACTCATGGTGAATAATTTAAACATTCCAAAAACAAAAATCCTCTATAATCTCCAAGACAACTCTCATTTATGGTTGCATATTAAAATAGTAACTCTTTTACCAAAATAAGATATTTTTCAATTCGTCTTTGTTTTGTGTATGCATGTGTTGTGGTGTGGGGTGTGTGTGTGTGTGTGTGTGTGTGTGTGTGTGTGTGTGTGTGTTTTGCTTTGCTTTGTTTTGGTTTTTTAGTTTTGGTTCCTTTTGGGGTTTTTTGTGTGTAGTTTGGTTTTACTTAACAATATCTCTTAAATGATGTTCCACAGTCAAAATATACAGTTCTTTTTTTAGATTATCCTACTATTGTTGTACTGGAGTTTCTCTCATATGCGGAAGATAGAAACAATACAAATACTAGCAATATTATGAAAAACAGGTCATGCTAAAGGGAGGTCACTGACAGCAGAGGGAGGATAAAAGAAGGAAGTTAAAAAGGTGAATATGGGTGATGTACTTTCTATACAAGAATGAATACAGAATTTTTAAACCTGTTGAAATCACCATAAGAAGGAGATTAAGGTAAAAAGAAAAATAGAGGGCATGAACCAATTTGAGTTATAATACATATATACATGGAAACGTCACAAGGAAACACCCTGTATAGCTATCTTAAACAAACAAAAATGACTTTTTTCAGAATATATAGTTCTACTACACTTTTTTGGTCTTGATTAATTTTTATGTTTTATCTACAGATAGTCAAAACTCAAGTAGTGCTTTAAAATGCACATAGCAACTAACTACACTATACGTTTCCCAGTACCATACTTCCTCTTCATACAAACAGTACCTATTGATTTCCTATTATGTTTGCTCACTTCTTCCTTCCTTGTTCCACCCTCCTAATATAAACGCACATCAAATTTAGTTAAGTGCATATTTTATGATTTCATTATCATGACCATGTCATAATATTGGTTACTGAGCTGAGAAGTGAATGTGACTACATTTCCTTTCTCATACAGCTTTTAGTTTTTCTTAGAGTTGATAATTCTATTTGCTTGGTTTTCATTGAACATCTGTCTTCCTACAGTCTACATTAGTTCTATAAAAATGACTCTCTATAACTCTCTACCTAGTTAAATATGTTAAATAATTTATCAGCTTTATTCTCTTCTAGAGACATCCCTGCTGGAACACCTAACACCCTACTCCATTTCTATGCCTGAAGTGCAGCAACTGTCTTGGAACTTCTCTTAGCCAGCACTTTAGGCAATTCTTTACCTTTCTCCTCTGGGAGATACCCTAACTTTTGACTTCTTCTACATGTATCTTTAAATTGTTTAAAGAGCTATAATAAGAATGTATTTAGTCCCGTGTTTTTAAGCCCATCAAATTCTCAATCAATCTTTAAAATTAAGCATAAAGTTTTAAATACCCCATGGCTATCAGAGGGAGCCCATCTACTGGAAATTATATGGTAGAGACTAGCTCTCAAGCCCCTACAATGCAAAGGAAAAGAACATGAGAGTCACAGTAGGGAAGAACCGAAATAATGGCTACAAACAACAGAAGAGGAGAGAAAGTTCATCAAAGTTTACTTAATCTTGAATAATGACTACTAATTACATTATCAGTCAGAGAAATAGAACAAGACAGAAAACCTCATCAGGAAAAAAGAAGGGCTTCCAGGAAAGGTAATGGAGGCTTCAAAGAGAAGAGAAGGAAGAAGAAAACTGCTGTGTCACTGCGAGATGACCTAAAGCCTGCTGGAGATGTCATGAGGAGGTTAAGAGAGCACCTTCCTTATGAAAGGGATTAACAAAAGAAAAGTAAGATTTCTAGTGCCTTCAAAGCAGGGAGAAAAATTTTTTGCAAAGTTAGGACAGATAGTAAGATACTTTCCACAGCTAGCTTGCTCAAAACCAGCAAAAAAAATAGGTGGTATTTCTGAGAAAGGACTGTTTATTCATCTAGAATAGAACATCTATCAGACTAACTTGCACTGGTGAGGATCACAACAAAAATAAAAATTAGGAACATGTCTATGGTCCCTAAGAGGAGATTAAGGAAAGAACATATAAGAAAAACTAAGCTAATATTTCACTATAGACCATTTGATAAAATATAGACTTCCTGATTCTTATCTTTCCTTTTAAACCTTTGCCATTTTTTATTATCAGTCAAAACTCTCTTCTCCTGGCTTCTGTGACACTAAATTCCCTTAGCTTTCCTCCTTTTCTAACTGCTTAGAGGTCTCCTTGCTGACCCTCCTCCTCCTCTGCAGGACCAGTAAAGACTGGAGCTAAGGCTTAGACCTAGGAGGATCCTTTCTCACCTATCTTCAAGATCTTCTTATCTGATGGAACCATTCCTGTTGCCTTAATACCACTTACTGTATATGCCAGTGGTTCTCAAATTTATATGGGGGGAGGAGCGTGCTGGGGATTGAGCCCAGGGCTTTGTTACTGCCAGGCAAGCCCTTTACCACTGAGCTATCTCTCCAGCCCCCCCAAATTATGTCTTTAGCCCTGGCCTCCTGGCTTATATAACCAATTGCCTTCTTGGCATCTCTACTTATATGAATAGTAGACACATCAAAGTTTAAAAATATGTATATCAAAACTCTTTTTCTCTCTCTAAGCCTTTTCTTGTACTATTCTTCTTAGCAGGTCAATGACATCATTGTTATGGATATTCTTAATCAAATCTCCTTTCTACCCTGAGTTTGTTCTCACTAGAAAGTTGTCATGTGAATGAGGCTAGCCCCTAAATTTCTTTTTAGTTTTCTGTCTTGAGCTGTGATCTCTTTCTCTCTCCTGCCACTGTGATACCATCTGCTATGAAGCCTTCAGGAGAGACTGAAGCAAATGGGGCCACCTGATTTAGATTTTCAGCCTCCAAACTTTGAACTCAATAAACCCTTTTTATTTATATATATACATATATATATATATATATGTATATATGTATAAAGAAATATATATAATATACTTATATATATTCTTCTTATTATTATATAATAATAAATATATCTATAAAGAGTAAAGAAATATATATTTATATATATATGAAGAAAAGAGGTTTATTTAGTTATATATATACATATATAAAATGCATTCTAGGCCTAAAGATCACCCAGTACTCACTATATAATTAATCATTTTTCCTTTTGCATAAGAAGCAAGTGAATTTAGCCAACTGTAACTAACACAATTCTCTAAAGGCAAATCAGTGAGGCCTAGATGCCTCATTCCTAAAACATAAATTATGCATTTTGCAAGCAGGGAAGAAAATATTCATTGCTTATAAAATTTCTACTAAAAATATTTTTATCCAGAAAGTAAGCTTGTTCTTTAATATTTTTATTGTACAGTGGAGGAAATTATATTCCCACCAAATTGCTTTGATTTAGATAAGAAGGCCATGATTGATTATCCTGGGAACAGAATAAAAATCCTCTCTCTTTCAAACAGCCCCCATCATACCACAGGGCTGCTGAAACTTTTAGCCAGAACTACAAAAGACCCTTACTCATATCTCTGCTGCTTCTTTTACAGTAACCTAACCTTGCTGTTTTTTACTTAGCTTCTAGAATAACCCAAACTCCCCTTTCCACTTCTGTGCCGTTGTACATTCAATTCCAGTGCCTTCTGGAACATCTACACACACACACACACACACACACACACACAGAAGCTAATCCCTCTTCATTCTTCAGGACCTAGCTTCTATATCATTCTACATCACTTCTCTAGAGAACCTCCCCTGACATACTTATCCTCCATCCAGTTAGGTCATTTGTCCCAGTTATGTGGTATCCTAGATCCCTGTATTTCTCCAATCATTTATAAAAATTATAGTTTTATAAGCATTTATGTAATTTTACATTTGTGTGTATGTAGCTATAAATGTGTATATCTCTATTGGACTCTAAGTTCCAAGAGAATATGTACTGTGTTCCCAGAATCTCAC